GAGTTGGCACGGGTCTGAGTTGGCATTAGGTAGGGTAAGAGTTGGCGTGGGTCCTAGTTGGCTTTTGGGCTGAGTTGAAATGGTCTGAGTTTGCATGTCAAGGATCTGAATTGGTTGAGTCCGAGTTGACTTGAACCCAGAGAAATAGGAGAGTGCTATTCAGAAGGTTTGGTTTTGGCAAAATCTTTTGTGTTCACTCCAGATTTACCCACTTCTACCGTGTTCGCCATGCCTAAAAAAATGCTAACGTTATTGTTCAGTCACCCCATGGTACGGAGGAATGACACACATTCTTCCATCATGTCCATAGTCAATGGTCACACTCAACATGCTCAACCCCCTGCTCAAAAAAGGATGAGACTGGCAGAGTCTAACTTAACTCTAACATACTGCATAATAATGCAAAAACTGCTGCAAATGGATTGCTGACGGAGGGCCTGAAATTCAATTCCAGCAGAATCTTTATCTTTTGCCTTCGAGAAAGATTTTGCTTGGATAGAAAACGTCAGATGTCGGTCACTTCGTCCCATTGCCAATTCTCCTGCCACCACTTCACCCAAGCTCTGCTTAATTGTGCGGAAACTCTGACATTAACACCTTTTTTTACAGGTGGCGTGGATTGATTACCACGTGACAATGGATTTGATAAAAAGTTGGAATAATGAAAGAAATGATATTATTCCTTTTGATTTCATCAAAGTTTACCCTGTAGTCTTCTATAGATTCCCTGTATGTCTTCTCTATTCCATTTTAACCCTTTCTTCTGACCCAATACTTTTTTGAATCCATTTTCCATCAAATTTGATGTTTAAAGACAGAAATCAAAATACATGTATGCACGTCTCCTCCTTCATATACTCCTGTTGCAATTATAGTCACTATTCTTGAAAGTGCATAGGCTTGGCTTTAGAGTAATAAGACAAATACAACCAACTTATCACCGTAGTCTGACACCCAAGATTGTCTGACACTATAAATGCAATACAAATATAAATACCAGTCAAGAGTCACAGTAACCCTAAAGTTTCAACAACTTCAACGTAACTTCACTCCTTGCGGCAAGGAGTCTCTGACTACACTGCATTGACAGAATTACGACATCTGAGATGGCCATTAGGATGGCCTGGCTGTTTGGATGATCATCTTTATTGTAAAATTTCCCTTGGCAAAATGCCTGAATTGAAACAAACAGACAAACTGTGGCAAGCAGCCTTCGCTTAAGTTTAATAAAACCACACAACAGAAAAAAAGGCGTTGAAGTTTCTATTCGAGTGAAGTGGTGACTGGGGAGAAGTGGAAAGGAGGTGAAATATGACAGAAATAAGAACAAATATGAATACATGGATTTTAGGCTTTTCAGTCAAAATCCACTCATTTTTGTGTAGACTAGGCCTACAAAAAACTTTTTCGACATTCACAATGCATTATGGGCGTGGATGACAAACAAGCGATGCATTTTATGAACAACCCTGTGGGGGCAGTGAACCAGTCACAAATCAGACTACGCTTTTCAACTAAATATTTTTTTATGTATCTGGCATGTTCTTCATAAAATGGACCAAAAAGCAACCTCGACTGTCATTTTTCAAAACTTCTAAAAGAGTGACTTTGATCATGTAAAACAAAAATTAGCACCTTCAGATTTATAAAAAATGATTATATGGGGATAATTAGGTATAATAAGTTCTTATGGTGGACATCTGGTTGGCTACCAGTGCAAATCAAATCAAGTTGAATTCATTTAAAGTTTTAGGTCAAAGTGTTTACACCAGAGGACTTGATTTCAAAACTTCTCTCAACAAGGAGAATTCAGTATATTTTTCGACTGACGTATTTTAAAGCACCTAAGAAATAACTTTAAAAAAATATAAGCCACGAAAAAAAGAGCACAAAATTGACGGAAAATGATGAGAAAAAGTTTGGCTCTCTTCATTCTCTTACCGTTTATAATCACTCTTACTATACCAACATATTTGCCAGGTCTTGTATATTTCGACCCCCAAAAATTATCTTTAAGTTTGGCTGCATCAAAAATTCATAATGAGTACAATATATTCGTTGCAAACGTTATATTTAACAGAATTTTTATCACGTTTGAGAATTTTGACAGAAACTGCATAACGTTCGAGAATGCCGAAAATGCTGTCACATAAAAATTCCATGCGCAATTTTCATTTTGCCGGTTATTTTGGAGATAACTCCACTGAAAATAAAATTAAAATTAACAACTCTGAGCATTAGATTTTCATCATGAATCGTGTTTTATGTCTCGACCATTATTTTTTTGCAAACGTTATTCAGAATGACAGATTTTCTATTAAGAAAAATTGTTCCGAAGAGAAAAATCGCGGAGCGTCGCCATTCCATGGAGGGGTTCATGAATATTGAATAAAAAAGAGGGCGCCTTATCTGGGTTGACGTCAAAGGTCAAGCAGGCCACGATGCAGCGAAATGTTTCTCTAACGTCACTGCGAGAGATTGATGGAAGCCACAAAATTGCCACGATCGGTATTTTGGACTGCGTTTTGGGAGCATACTTGAAGAAAATGTGATCGGTCCAGTCGTAAAAGGATGGTTTGGGGTGCTTTCTTGCACTCTTTTTTAAAGCTTGTGTTGTACATCGATATATGGATTTTACTCGCTTTTTTGCAGTCGATTTTTTTGACACTAATGACAGAATCGAATTAATTGTGAGAGGTACTTTTTAATTTCATGATTATGGTTTTAA